GCTTTTTAGGGAACTATTGGGACATCCTGATAGTAAAGAGTTACAGTAGTCCAGCCTGGAAGTAACAAATGCATGGACCAGTTTTTCAGCATCACTTTGAGACAGGATGCTCCTGATTTTTGCGATATTATGCAGATGAAAGAAGGCAGTTCTAGAGACTTGGTTTATGTGTGATTTAAAGGACATATCCTGGTCAAAAATGACTCCAAGGTCCCTCACAGTAGTACTGGAGGCGAGAGCTATGTCATCTAAAGTAACTATATGATTACACAACAGATTTCTAACATTTTCAGGACCAAGCACAATGACTTCAGTTTTGTCAAGAGTTTAGAAGTAAGTTACAGGTCATCCAGGCCCTTATGTTTTTAAGACATGCTTGAAGTTTGACCAAGTTGGGGTATGTGTGTAGAGACTAAATCTGTGTCTGAGAGACAGAACTGTTTTGTGAGGTCGAGTTAGAGGTAAAACGGGGACTTCAGTGACTGCATCGCACTTCTGCAAATATGTGTTGTGCTTGTTCAACAGCTGTTTGATAAACTGCTTATACAGTCTGCCTTACTGGCACTTTTTGTTACAATAAGGAGTCAAGTGAAGTGGACTATACTGTATGTGTTTGTGTGGATCTTTAACCTGTTGGTTTCACAAGTAATATGTTAGGTTTTATGTCAGGCATCATCTTAAAGCAGCAGTATATGCTCTGCCTGGAAATCGTGCTGTGTGTTAAATCATTCCAGAGTCCAGGAGGACCATCCCATCATGTCTTTCACTGTTTCCAGAAATGGAAGGTTAGCTCTGCTCAATGTTGCTACTCAGGTAAGCAGTTTATTACTTTCTCACATTTCACATCACAGTGTACTTTCCCTTTCATTTGAACTTGAGCTAGTTGCTTCAGTTCATTGTTGACTTTGAAGTGTGTATGTGTGTGTGTGTGTGTGTGTGTGTGTGTGTGTAATTGTGTGTGTAATTGTGTTTGTAGGGAGTGCACCTATGGGACCTGCAGGACCGGGTGCTGGTGAGGAAGTACCAAGGGGTCACCCAGGGCTTCTATACCATCCACTCCTGCTTTGGAGGACACAATGAAGACTTCATTGCTAGTGGTAGTGAAGGTAAAACATGTTTACTTCAGTAGAAAACTTTCTTTCACTTCGTTGTGGACTGAGACAGACAGTTTAAAAAAGAGAAGGTGACCTCACCACAGTTATTTTTTTCACCTGTAACAACACTCCTGAACCACAAGCTAAATGTGCAATTTTGCTTCTCCAAAGACAGACTATGTAAACATCCCTGGAGACCCACGTTTAGGACATCAACTCCTAAATCCAAATTAAACGTCATCTCGAAATGCATGTCGAGCAAATACAAAGTAAACATTGAAAAAGTCCTATACAGTATAATGCCAAGTCATTTAAGCTTCATAGATATTAATTTCTCCATTTAGGAAGCACAAATTGAATTGAAGTGATAGTGAATCAGTTTCACCTGCTTTGATGCAAATTAAACTGACAAGTGCAGTGGAGAGGCAAAAGCAAGACAACTCTCAAAAAGCGTAGCACCATGCAGTTTGATTGGCATTTACCAGAGAACACCAGAATTGGCAGGTCTGCCATTGGCACTCTGTTCTATTCACAGATGAGAGCAGGTTCACACTGAGCCAATATGACAGGCGTGAAAGAGTCTGGAGATGCCGTGGTGAACGTTATGCTGCCTGTAAAATCATCAAGCATGGCCGGTTTGGTGGTGGGTCAGTGATGATCTGGGGAGACATATACTTTGAGGGCCACACAGACCTCCAATGCATCGCCAGTGGTATCCTGACTGCTGTGAGGTACCGGGATGAAATTCTTAGAGTGATTATCAGACCATACGCTGGTGCAGTGGGTCTTGGGTTCCTCCTGGTGGCCTCGTGGCCGGAGTGTTTCGGCAGTTCCTGGATGACGAAGATATTGAAGCCATTGATTGGCCCTAACCTAAGGGACATTATGTATCGGTGCATCTGATGCCACCAAGTACCACCACAGACTGTCAGTGTGGATTGATACATTTGATAGATTGGAAGTCCTTTGTGTGCTTCGTGAGACAAGTGAGTGACAGACCTGCAGATAAATGTTGAGATGATAGTATTGTGGAGATTATGTCTGTCCACCATTCCTAAAGGGAGAGCAGTCATTTGTGCATAAACCCAATATTTCTAAGCTGATAAAACACAAGCAGTCGTGATCTTCTGACCATCCATCCATTATCTACAAAGTGATGGTGGAAAAAGTAAAAGCAACACTTACTAAAAGTCAACTGGAGTCAGGTGTTAGCAAACCTGGAGTACAATAAGTGAAGTGGAGTGAAATAAGAATGGAGGTGTGGTTTAGAACTACCTTGACTTATAAAAACACTTACAGTGTCAGTGTGTTGTTCACGAGCAGCATCAGCTGATGTGAGCCAGGCCTCACAAAAAAGAGATCTCAGAAGACCTGCGATCAAGAGTTGTTGATTTGCATGTAGCTGGAAAGGCTACATGCAAAGGAAGAAACAGCAAGAAAACTGCACACCAACATGAAAACATCATCCCAACAGTGAAGTACGGTGGAAGGAGCATCATGATTTGGAGCTGCTCTGCTGCCTCTGGACCTGCACCGCCTGTCATTGTGGAGGGAAAATGAATCCCCCAGTTTATCAAGGTATCCTACAGGATAATGTCAGGGAGGCTCTTGGCAAGCTGAAGCTCAGAACAAGCTGGGTGATGCAGTAGGGCAGTGACCCTAAACATCAAAGCTACTACAGAATGGCTTCAGAGACACATAATCGGCATTTTTGGAGAAGCCCGGTGAGAGCCCAGACCTCAACCTAACAGAAATGCTGTGGAGTGACCTCAAGAAAGCCATTCATACCAGACATTTAAAGAACATGGCTGAGCTGAAACAGTTCTGTAAGGAAAATTCCTCCTGAAGGTTGTGCAGGTCTAATCCCCAGGTACATGAAGCACTTGTTTGCCAAATGTGGTTCAACCTGTTATTAAAATACTGTTGCCATTACTTTTCCACCATCACTTTGTATGTTTAATGGGTGTGTTTAATAAAGATATGAAAGATCAGGACTGTTTGTGTTTTATCAGCTTAGAAATATTGTTTGTTGATATTTGTGACTTTGGTGAAGCTCAGATTTCATGAACAACTTGTGCAGAAAACCAGGAAATTGCAAACAGTGTACATGCATACACACGCAGACACACACACAGAGTACAAGTATTGTGTATATACATATATATATATATATATACATATATAC